TTAGATACCATATTTCTAAGCTTTTCAGCGCCGAGTACAATGACCTCAGTTTGATCTGAATTAAGAAGCAGAAAGTTAGCGGCCATCCAGGTCTTTATGTCTTTAAATGATGCTTTCATTTATTAAAGTTATTCAAACCTACACAGCCATCAGTGGCTGTTCGTGCTGGAAAATCTGTCCAATGTGTCTGAATGGAAACAATCATGCAAAGCAGAGTGGGCTGAAATTCCTCCACAGTGATGTGAGACAGTCATTGGCTGTTAACTCAAACACTACCAGTTATTGGGTTTAGGGGACAATTACACACGTTTGTGTTTCAGCCGTGTTGACTCGTTCAGTGCTGTGCTAATGCGCTCCATGATGTCATAAATCTAGTTATGAGAGAATAAACACGACAGCTGAAGCTGCCAGTTACACACGCTCTGTTTCTGTTTGCAGAGTGCTGAAGGTGAAGCAGTGAAGTGGAGCGAGAAGCAGAAGATTGCTTACACCGCTCCGACACCTCCTGGGGCAAAGAAAGGTGACTCTCCCGTGACCTCTGTTGGCTCGGCGCTCTCTTCTCCTCACAGGCTCTGAAAGTCCTTTTTCTTCCCCCCACAGACACTAGCTCACCGTTCCCATCATGTTACAGTCCAGAGTACGTGGAGTCCAGCTGGTATCAGTGGTGGGAGAGAGAGGGATTCTTCAGTCCTGAGCAACATGTAAACATGTCAACTTGTTACATCAAATTGTTACTGTTGCAGTTAGAAATGAATTCACTTTAACGCAGTTTCTATGAAACAAACTGAGTAAGTGGTTAATCAGATAAGCTTTAGTGCTAATAATAGCAAATAAATACTTTTTATTTAGTGATGCAGAAAATGGATGAACTGTTTCAGAGCACTGATCAGAAAACATTTGTATTTGTCTCAGACAGTTTTCAGAACATACGATTACTTTACTTTGGTCATATTTCAGGCATCAAAGTGAACTTGATGTACTTTCTGAGCTTGTCCTGCCAGCAGCGCTCTCTTTATTCGCTGTAAAGCAGTTTGTTTTTTCTACAATAATTATTTTTATTGTAGAAAAAATATTGCTTTGCTTCTTCTGTTCCTTTGACAGGAGAAGGCAGCTTGCTGTGATTTCCTCCTGTGTTGTTTTGTTTTTCTCTCAGCAGGTGATGAAGCTGATGTTCACTGTTGTTTTTCTCCCTCTTCATCTCGAGTTTTTCCTCCTCTTCTCCCCAACGTCTCTGTCCCTCATCTGTCCCTCGGTCCCGTCCGTTCTAATTTTAATAACTTTAATAAATAAATAATAATAATAAAGGTCGAATAAAATATGACGAT